AGGTTTGTAGAGTTGACCATATCTCCTCTTCAATTGCTATGATGTTTAGATTGGAATTTCCATAAATGATTGAGGTGTAGTGTTTCCAAGTGCAAAATCCAATAATACCTGGTACCACCATTCTAAGATTCCCTTTTAGTGAGGATTTGGAGGACCGTATATTCCACTCAATAAGATGTTGTTTGAAGCTGATGTTATCTCTAAGTAGTGGTCCATTCAAAGCAATTGCCATTTTGGTCCAAATGTTCTTGATAGGGGCACATTGCAGTAGGCAGTGATCAATATTACAGGACCAATTGCAACAAAAGGGACATCTGCTAGGGTTAGGGGTAATCATTCTGTTCAAATTATCCGGCCATGGTAGAGCTCTGTAGTTAGCTTTCCAAAGGAAGATTCTAACTTTAGGTATTTGAAGGGTATTCTAGTTAAACTTGTTGCTCAGTTGAGTGGGTTCCTTGTTTCTGCAGATATTATAAGCTTCCTTAAACATGAATTTGTTGAGCCCTTCTTGAGTTTCAAATTATTCGAGTGCTCTAGTATGACTTCTGCATATTCTTTTTCTAGTTGTAGAATCCGTGAGCCTTTCTTGGAAATCAGTTGTGCTGTATTTATTCCTCATAAACTCGGACCATTTGCTTTCCCCCATAAAGAAGTTCCACCAGAGTTTGATTGAATAAGCCTCTTGAACATCTCTTAAGCTTCTAAGTCCCAACCCCCCTTCATTCAATGGCAGACACATGGCTTCCCAACATTTCCAGTGGTAGTTTGATCTGTCATTCCTAGTTCCCCAAAAGAAGTTACTTAATCTTCTATGAATAGCATTAATGATAGAAATAGGAAGAGTGTGGACAACCATGATGTGAAGTGGTACTGCTGATAACACATGCTTAATCAGGATCAGTCTACCCATAGTGTTTAGTGTTTTACTAAACCAGCTATGTATGTAAAAGTCGAAATGATTAAGCAAATCTTTGCAGTCTTCCTTTTTTAATTTACCTTTACAGATAGGTGCCCCCAGGTATTTGAAAGGTAGATGACTGTGCTGCATACATAGAATCTCTTTAACCTTGTTAATATCAGAAATGGAGCACTTTTTGCCACAATAGAACCTGCTTTTAGAGTAGTTAATCTCCTGACCAGATGCTTCCAAGTATTGGACAAGGCAATGTTTAAGTTTTTTGAGATTCTTGCCATCCCCTTTACTGAAGATAATAATGTCATCAGCAAAAGCCAAGTGGCTAATTAGTATGTTCCTACCAGTGTTGAAAGGAGAAATGTAGCCTGACTCCATGGTTTTCTTTAACATTCTGCTAAGGCCCTCACTTGCAAGAATAAACAGAAGGGGGGATAAGGGGTCACCCTGTTTAACACCCCTCATCATCTTGAAAAAACCACATGGACTCCCATTTATTAAGATTGAGAGGTGAGA